GATGGGGAAGAATATGGATAGACCAGTTTTAGGTAGAGAAAGTTGGGGCTCAGTTTGAGACATATTCAAATTGAGATTTAGCTTGGATATCCAAATGAATGTGTCAAGTATGCCATTAGATACAAAGCAGTTAATATATGGAGGCAAATCTTGAACACGAAATTAGGACTCACCATCATTTAGATGGTATTTAAACTCATGAGGAGAGATGAGGTCGTCAAGGGAATGAGTATAGATACAGATGGTCAAGACATGAGTTCTTGACACACTTTAAAGTGTAGAGGTAGGGAAGATGAGAAGGAAAAACACAAAGAAAATTGAGAATTAGGAAGAAAACCAGAAGAACATGATGGCCTGGAATTCAAATGAAGAAAAGCAGAAAGAGTGATCAGCTCTGTCAAATGCCGCTTATAAAGCTCAAGTAAAATGCAGATATGACAATTTTACAACATATTTGACAATATAGAGGCTACTGAAATCTGATAATACAGTTTGGATGAAGTCATAGTGGTCTAAGACTAGTTCAAGAATGGGATCAGAAATATTATTCATTACTTATTTATCGAACATGCAATATCTCCTATGGGTCAGGTGGTACCCACAGTCTTTTGTTTTGAGTCAGGGTCTCTGTCCCCTAGGCTGGAGTGCAGTGGCACAATCACAGCACACTGCAGCCTTGACCTCCAGGGCTCAAGCCATCCTTCCACTTCAGCCTCCTGAGTAGCTGAGACTACAGCAATGTGTCACCAGGCCCAGCTAATACACAGTCTTAACTCTCTTCCAGCCTAAAGTTTTCAACTTAGTTTTAGAATAGATAATTCAATCTGGGAATGTATCTCAAATTTTATGACAATAAATAGGAAAATGTAATTTATTTGCATAATTTTTGCACTTTACTGAATGCCTTTATTTAAATATGAAAATATAATAATCATATAGTCACACTTAAGAGTTACATTTAGTTCAGGAAAATTCTCTCTTTGCTATTGTTCAGGCTGTGCTCTCTCACATATTCCTTACGGGAATTTATACACCAAATCATTGCACATGGCTTTAAAATTTAAATTCTTATATTTGCAGTGATTTTTACTAAATCAAAGCCAAGTCTTTATAAAAATGGCTATGGGTCATTGCTTTATTTATATATGCATAAATATACATATGTTATATTTATACACGCACATACATCATGGAGGATGTTTATACATGTATGCACATATAATACATTTATATGGATGATATTTAGTTTACAGGAAGAAAAATGTGAAAATTCAAGTGGTAATGAATTATCTGGTGAAGATATTACAGTATGTCTAACCATGTTCTTATTTTCCTAAATATTTGTTGCTTTCATAATTTTAAAAAGCTACTTGTAAGGCTTTTATAATTGATTAAAGTGATTTGTTATTATTGATAAATTTACGTTTAAAAAGGCATTTAAATCAACAAATATTGATTGAGCACTTATGTGACAGACACTGTTCTTAATGCTGAGGAATGCATTAGTTTATAAAGCGTTTGACAAGTTAATGAAAATAAGCAGAGTGAGGTGATAGAGAATGAGGGAGGTGGAGCTAATCCTATTGGGTAGTTGGAGAAGGCTTTTCTGAATTGGTGAATTACAAGGAGTCAGCTAAGGAAAGATACAGAGACCCATCATTCTAGGCAGGAGAAATACTAGGCACAAAGTCTTCAAGTCAGGAATAAGGTTGGAATTTAACGAAGAAGGACTGTGGGACTGAATTTTATTCCATAACAGGGTAAATATTAGAAAATAAGGTAGACATAAAAACATGGGCCAGAATCCTTTTTTTGTTTGTTTTTTTGTTTTTTGTTTTTTTTTTTGAGACAGCGTCTTGCTCTGTCACCCAGGCTGTAGTACAGTGGCATAGTCATGACTCACTGCAGCATCAAAATCCTGGGCCCAAGCAGTCCTCCACCTCAGCCTCCTGAGTAGCTGAGACTACGAGCACATACCACCACACCCAGCTAATTTTTAAATTTTTTGTAGAGATTGGTCTTGCCGTGTTTCCCAGGCTGGTCTTGAACTCCTGGGCTCAAGTCATCTTCCTGCCTCGGCCTCCTGAAGTGCAGGGATTATAGGCGAGAGCCACTGTGCCTGGTCCTAGAATCCTTTTTGGCCTTTTAGGTGAATAAAAATTTGTTTTATTTTGAATTTTTTTTGAGATGGAGCCAGTGTGGTGGCTCATGCCTGTAATCCCAGCACTTTGGTTGCTGAGGTGGGTGGATCATCTGAGGTCAGGAGTTCGAGACCAGTCAGATCAACACGGTGAAATGCCATCTCTATTAAAAATAGAAAAATTAGCCAGGTGTGATGATGCATGCCTGTAGTCTCAGCTACTTGGAAAGCTGAGGCAGGAGAATCGCTTGAACCTGGGAGATGGAGATTTTAGTGAGCCGAGATCGTGCCACTGCACTCCAGCCTGGGTGACAGAGAGACTCCATCTCAAAAAAAAAACAAAAACAAAAAACAGTAAAGTTCAGAGATTTAATAGCAGCGAAGAAGTTTACTATATTATTTCAAGGTATTGACAAGAATCAGAGATTTAAAGTAATAATTTCTTCTCTGATTTGCCATTGGTCACACCACTCTATCACACCACTGTATGTGGTGTCACCTGCTTTCCCTTTGGAGACATTTGACTAGGCAACATCTGGAGATTAGAAAGAGATAATCAAAGACATGTTAGTAATGGATTAATTTTTTAAGTACTCAGATATTAGATAATATGGATCTAGTACAGATACATACCAGATAGCTTGTTTGGGGTTCATATTGCAATTGAATGCTAAATACATATAGTTGTACAGGAATCTAAATTATGAAAATTATGGAACTGTTGACCCAAATATGTTACTTGGATTACCGGGTTATTAAACTGGCTAAAAATAAGAAGCTGAAACTGATCTGGCGAAGATTACTTTTTTGTTCTTTTGACTTGTTAACAGAATCAGTAAGGTGTGATTAAGTCAACTACTTACACATACATGCTAATTGGGAAAAAGACAGCAGATTTTCTATATTGGCAGCTCATAAACCTCAAAGGCAAACATTTGAAAAAGGACACAGTCTATTTAGTAAGCCATGCTTTATATTTTAAGTTTTAAGCCAAAACATGTTTTGAAAATAGCAGAATATTAAAGATAGAAAGCATATTTTTGTCATGGCAAAGCAAGTAGGTATGATTTTGGGGGGTAGAAATAAGGGGTGCTTTTGTCTAATAGTACTCAAACTTTAATGTGCATATGAATCCCCTGGGAATCTTGTTAAAATATATATTTCGATCAATAGGTCTGGGAACCCCAATATTCTGCATTTCTAACAAACCCCCAGGTGATGTGGTGGCTGCTGTTCTAGCAACCTCATTTTAAGTAGAAGGCTTTATCCTTCCTGGAGGAAGTGAGGTTTAAATTGGGACATGAATAATTGTAAAATACAGGTTCTTTATTTTCTCCCTCCTCAACTATCACATTCTCCTCCCCCCCTTTTTTTTATATAAGGTACTGACTGTAACTGTTAAGGCAGGAAAATGGAATTGCTTTTTCATTTTTTTTTTTTTTTACAAAGTACTTACAATGCATAATGTTGGAGAAGTTTGAACAATAAGATTCTCTCCTCTAAGGCCTAATGTTGAAGTCAGTCTAATTGGAGGAGAAATGGGAAATGAATCTCAAAGTTAATTAATGGCACAATTCTGCTGGATACTGAAAAGTGAAATACAGCCTCTGACAGAATAAACCTTAAAGGCCATATGAGTAAGAAGGGAGGAAGTAGAATTTCAGTTGGGTAAGTATGAGGGGTTGGAGAGCAGCAACTACATAAAAGGATAATGAGCTATTAGGCAAGACTGAGAGTGAACACGGGACTTAGTGTTTCTAGAATGTCCCCTGTATGTTGTTGCAAGTCAAACAATACAAAGTAACCACCAAAATGCTGGACAGTCTGGTAAAGGGGCTGCTGGTAATAAAACGTAAAACTGTGTCTTATACTTGCTCAAGACATATTAAATCCGTATCTGAAATAATGAATGAGATCAGATGTTGTCCAGAGAAGGAAAATCAAAATGAAAAAAAGTGTTGAGGGAGGGGCAGCTCTTGAATGAAGATGGAATAAGAACATGGGAACTCCTGTGTGGAAAGAAAAGGCCAAGAGGTCTGCTAAATCAAGGGTACTGTGAATAAGTGAGTACAACCTGAACAAATACAAAGCAGTGCTATTTCACGTGAACATCTACCATGTTATTACATGTGCCTTGAGATTTTTGATGCTAAACAGATCTCGCCAAGCCTGCTCCCCTTTGCAGATAGTGAGAATGCCTATCGCCCTCCTTGTTTTCTTTGTAATGAATTTCTACTTCCTTTAAGATTCACTTAGAGCCTAACCTGCTTTTGTCTAAACCCTCCATACAGAATTAGGTGCCTCCCAGACCCAGTTCCCTGGCTTCCATAGCCTCCTTTACATGCCGCTGCTTGCAGTGTTTACATCCTTGTCTCTTTCTCTAGCCTCACATTCCTTTGTAGGAAGGGACTGTGCCATGGTAATCTTTGCATTCCCCAGTTGTGTGGCTGACACATGCCCTAAGCTCAGTCGGTGTTAGCCGGAAGGAAAACAAAATGGGATGAATGAAAAAAATGAAAAGATGACGAGATTTTCAACAACAATTTAAAGTGGACAGAATGAAAAGGATTTAATTCTGTCTTGACAAAATAGTTTTATTAGAAAATTGCAAAAACATTCTTTTTAGTGAAAGCTTTTCACTAAAATGTTTTACATAATTGCATATCATTGCAAGCTTGACATGATATGTAAATATTGTTTTACATATCCTGATGTACTCTATTGAAAAATATAAAATTATGTAAAATGTAATAAAAAATAAAGTTAGGTAAAACCATTTTATATATTTTAAACATGAATTTATGCAAACAATAATTTTACATAAAACAATTTTATATAAAACAAAATTTTATGTTTTTAAGTAGAATAGTTTTTGGCTTAGGGCAAACTCATTCATTTTGGGTTAGTGCAAACTCATTTAGTAAACATGACAGGTGGCCAAATTATCACTGGATTTCAGTGACTTTCTGAGTTGCACTAGGTTTCTGACATCTCTGTCTCACGATCTGGGGATGGTCAGAAGCCCTCTGAAGTTCAGGATAGGATCTTCCAGGAGATACAGTGATCAGAATGCCAAAACTCTTGATGAACTGTTTTCAAGATATAAGTCACAGTATGGTAAGAAGTACAAATTAATGTATTTTACACTGCATATAAATCATGAAGAATTTCAGAATAAAGCAGTGACGAGTAAAGCCTCTTAGAAGAGGTATGTTTTGAAATAGTATTTGGTAGAGGTTACCATCATTGTGTGGAAGGGAATATGGTGAGACCCTCATCAGTAAGGGATTGTGGTGAAAATATGTGTCCAGCTGATTCAATGGGGAGGAAATGGCTGTCACAATCTGTGTGAAATGATCTAAGCCTCAATTATGGAGATATTTAGGCTTGGTCAGATTTTCCCAAATGGTGGAAACAACCTTGTTCTGTCAAGTGTGAATCATGGCAGACTTGAGCAGCACAGCCCTGTTCCATTGTCTTATCTGCTTCTTATGATGAAACATTTTATTTGAGGTAATATGACAGTATTAGTCTGACCTTTTAAAGTGAAACTTTATTACAAATTATTTCCAAACTTTGAGTTTCTTGAGCTTTCTTGACCTAAAAAATGTTTTTTATATATAATGTATGTATATGTTAGTGTCACCTGAACTTCAGGGATACTTGGAGACTTCAGTTGGAAATGAATCTCAGAAAGATTTCTTTTTAACTAAGGTCTTAAGTTAGTTAATTGTTTAGAATTTGCAGCAAAGCTAGGAGTAACTTACTCCAACCTTTGTTTTGTAATTCATGTTGTCTTAAACATGAATTATAAGATTGTTTACTCTCTCGTTGGAACTTTAGGTAGCAGTGATTATCTTATTTTTCAATCATTCAAAATTTTGAATTTTAATTTCTCTCTTACTCATATAAATACCAGTAGTGTTCTAAATTACTGGTAATGTTCCAAATTACTGGAAGAGACGGGCTATGTTAATTACAGCAAATCAAACAGATTCTCATAGGAACAGGGGAAGAAGAGAGCATTCATTAAGATCTAGTATGTGTCAGGTAACAGGTTGTTAGGCAGTTTGCTAATCAAAATTCTGTGAAAGGTTTTTATTTTCAAATATTTGTTTCTCAACAGGAAACAAATGCTACAATAACTAGGGTTCAACAGTAAAAAAAAAAAATAATAATAATAATGAAGGGCCTATACGCAGAGTTGTGGGCAGGATTAAGGCGAGCCATGGGGTGTGGCAGGGTGCCCAGGCTTTTGTGGTCCTGACACAGGCTGGTGAAGACAGGTGCCTGGAAGCAGGGTCATGTGAGAGGACCCGGTCACCATTGTGGTGAGGCCTAGAGGACTCAGAGGGGCAACGCATTCTGAAATTCACCTCCCATCCTCGGAATTCTTGTTTGTGTGTTTTGTTGGCCAAATCTAACCAGAAGCCGGGGACAGGAGAGCCTGAGGTAACTCAGTATGTGGAGCTATATTGTGAAGACACTGAACTTGGCAGTAAGGGGCTGAGCTGACTGTGTGGGGTAAATGAATATTTAGCACTATCTTCTTTCTCAGAGTTTTAAATAAGGACTTTTGAAAACCATTCTTTAAAAAATCATCCTTTTAGTCATTGTTTTAATATTGAGGAAAATAATGCTATAGTCATATTCCTGAGGAATGTCTAAAAATCTGATTGAGGATGCTATGGTTCCTAAACCAGCTTTGAGCTTCGTGGCATTCAAGGAAAACGGGAAACTATGTTGTTTGTAGCTCTCACTGCCTGTTTGCAGGCACAGCAATTTATCATTCTTGAGGCAGGAATTATTAGTGGAAACTTATCGCAGAATTCTTAATATAGCAATATAGAGACACCAAGCAATGTAACATAGTCGTTTCATTAAAAGTATGTAAATATATATTTGAATATTTCTTATAGTAGTCATCTTTGGTTTAAATTGAAGTTTGGATATCAAATTGTAGATTTCAGTTTCTATGTCTCCATAAACTGTCTTCTTTTGTCCAAGAAGTTTTTCACTTGTTAGATCTTTTTTTTATTTCATCTTGAAAATTTGATGTTCCCACATAAATACACAAAAGCAATTATTTTTTATTTACTTTCAAAACCTAAGTTATGGTTATTTTGATATTTGAATATGAAACATAAACTAATTCATAAGTAGATACTGCAGAGGGATTTTTTAATGAGTTTTCCTATCATGCATTTTTATAGACTTGACTTTTGGATCAATCCTGCATCTATATAAAATTTACTGGGTTATGAATAAACTGAACACATGTTTATTCTTATAAAATGGCATAATGTCTATAGATGAAGACTTAAAGATCAAGAAGTAAAGAATATGGATAGATCAGGACTTAAAGTACCATCAATTATATGAGACATTTGCAATTACTAAAGGATTTTCTTGATAAGCGAGGTAGGTAAGGTATGGTCAAACTTGGGGAGGGGGACCTTGACACTGAGATGAGATGAGCTTAATCAGTAGAAATTCTATGGAAAATGTAAGGACTGTAATTCTGTAGAAAATTAATGGCTTTGCTGTCCCACAAAGACTGTAAGCCCTATGTCATGCATCTGATGTAATATTCAATATGATATCTGTATATATTGATACAGTGGGTTTAATTGAAATAATCTTGTGAGTGTATCTGCATATTAAGTTTCCATTACAAAAGGTATTTTAATTTTAATAAAATATAGAGGAGTTTTCTAAATTGTTAGGGTGCTTTTTTTTAAGGTTTTAAGCCTTTGTTTTAGATTTTAAGTGAAACATTGCCACTCATGCCTCACATCTCTCAATTTGCAGGAGACCCTAATTTGTGCATTGCCTTAAGGTAATGCTTCTTTCTCAGTAGTTGGCAAAGTCACTGTGCCCTGTAACATAAGTGTTTCCTTTGAAATCTGAGCCTCGTGCATTTTTCCCTATAACTACAAAGTCTATTCAGAATGGGTGAAGCACAACACTTAAAATACCTGAAGTAATTGAATTGTAAGGAATGCAATATAGCTGCTTGCCATAGTGCATTTAATACCAGATGATTTAGTCACAAAAGCATCTCACACTCTTCCCGCACAGATTTATTTACTTATTTATTTCATTGATGTCTGGGAGAAAATTACATAGCTTTACAGATGTTATATTGAGTCATTATATTTGGAATTTGAATCTGATGTATTCTGAACTGTCCAATGTGTTATTTTCATAGAGTAACGAACTATTGGGATATCTTGGAAGTTAGGTTATTGCTGTAGTTAGGATCACATTGACAACTTACTCAATCAGATTCTTGGATTGTAGTTTCTGATTTAAAAAGGAAAACAAAAGATTTGGGGAGGGATTGAATTAAGATGGATGATTTACCAACCTGTTTTATTTCAGAAGTGGTAGCATAGCAAGAATTATATTTTAAAGCAGTATTTCTAAAAAGATAATTCTTTATGCCTTTGATTTTCTCAAATCACTTCTGCATTCATGAGCTGCTTGAGAAATTCTGGTATTCCTGATAGCTGTGCAAAAAATTATATTTAGAAGTCTGTGCTTTATTTCAAGTATTTTACCATCATATTTTCAGTACTAAACTGAAGAAAGGCCTGGTTTTAAATTTTTATTAAGATTATCTTCTTATTCAACTAAATGGAAAGTTGTATTGAAGGTTCTCTGTTGCATTTATATGTTATGAACAATATTAAAACAAATACTTCGAAACAATTGAGCTCTGCTGTCATGGGCTCGTAATTAGAAAATCTGAAATCTCCTTGGTTATCACAAAACCGCTTCTCAAACGGCTGTTTGAAAACAGCTTTTGCTTCTTAGGTAATAGAGATGCTCTTCGTTGTCATCTTAATTGTCATCAGATGCCTTTGTCACCAGATATAGTATTTTACAGCTGATTCTTATGGGATACTACCAGCAATACAGGATGTCATCTAAGAGACCGTGATGTACAGACAATGGAATTGGAAAGCTGAGTCTTTTCCATTTAAGTACAAAAGAATTTGGAAAGACTTATTTCAGCTCCGTAATGTTAGAGATAAGGAAATAGAAACCAAACTTGATGTAATCAAAGATATAAGTTTGGAAATAAACAATTTAAATGGGAAAGAGAACTCTTCCAGGGTGTTCCATGTATTTTATGGTTTGAGTCATTTGAACAATGCAAACTTTTGTCTCTGTCTGTATAATAAAAGAAGAAAATTGATCACGAATGCCCTTGACTTATATAGGTCCAGAACACACAGCACTGAAGAAGGGGTATTTTCAGCACCATTGGAAACTAAAGCGTAATTCTGTCATTACTTCTGTCAGCCCCTGACTGCACAGAACTGAGATAGGTAGGGTTGGAGATATTGGAGTGCTTTTCTGAGTTAAGCATGTACACTTATGTGTCTCAAAAGAAGGATGTTTGGGGAATTTATTGTTCAAAACTTATTGCAAATGCTGAGACAGTTTTAAAAATAATTCTATCATTATTTTCAGCTTTCACTAGTGGAAAGGTAAGACTTGAGAGCCTCCAGCCTAGATCTGGACTTCCAGCATAACTGCCTTTGCAATGCTCCAAGAAGGAACAACTTTCAGATGTAGTTGGGAAATAGAGTTGTTTTCATTTTGGCACACCTCACGTGTATAGAAATGGGTACCCAACTACTCATTTTATAGAGAAATGGTAATCGTAGTGTGGTTTGACTTTAAATTAGTGCTGGGTGAATAGTTCAGAGGAAGAAAAAAAGAAGCTCTTTAGGCTATCTTGGTTTAATTTGCACATCTGATTTTAAATAGAAATGTACAGAGACTACATTTAATGGGGTGGGTATAACTTATTGGCAGTTTTAAAACATGAAATATGTTGTAGCTTTAAAAAATATGTACCATGCTTATTGTTAAGTCATGGTAGAATTTCTTTCAATAAGTTTTTAGGACTTGATTTGTATTATTGAACTTGACCTAAACAGCTATGCTTTATTCGATTCTAGGAATAGATATTACTTTTAGTCACTAATTAATATTAATATTGGTAAAGAACTAAATTTTGGTTGTATGCCCCTCTGCGTCAGCACTTATATTAAAAATGTATGCCCTTATTTTAGCAATATTATAGTTTATTCAGTATGCTTTTCCCACTATTTTTAATGGATTAAATAAAATCATAAGTCATACCTTAAATACAGCTTATGCATTGTATATATTCAACATTGAATTTTAGTCCTCAAAGTGATCTGAGTTACCTTCTATTTCAGCTAACAAATTTACAAATAAGAACAATTAGCTCAAAGTATTTGAATGATATGTTTTACATTTTATTCTGATTTCTATACAACAGAAATATAAGCAAACTTGAAACACTTAGGTACACTGTAGTGTATTAAACTCGTGTGGAACTAGTTGTATATCTTTTCTAAAAATGATCCATTTTCAATTTCATAGGGAAAACTGACACCTAAGATTGTAGAATCATATGTGAAACAAGAGTAAATTGAACTTGAGTAGAGGCCATAAGGATTCTTTTAAGAGCTCAGCTGAATGGTCCTCACTTGAGGTGTCTCACGATTGCCCTGACTTGCGTTGCCATCATCTGAGGGCTGGCAAACTCACAAGTCACATGCCTTGGCTAGAAAAACTCACATCTCTATAGAGTATTGTCTGCATCTCTCTCTGTGGTCTCTCCATATTTTCTTTCCAGCTATCTACTCATGGTAACTGGACTCCTAATTCATTGGCTTGGGTCTATCATGACGTGTCTTAACAGGAAAAACAAACAAACAAACAAAAAAGAAGCTTTCTTTCCTAACTTAGCTACCCAAAGTCTCCCAGCCTCTTTCTGTTTATTAGAAGTGAGTCACTATTTAGCTCAAATTCAAGGGGAGAGTGGGGAATTCAACTCTACCTTTGGTGGAAAGGGCATTTTAAAACCATCACAATTGTTTCAAAGCAATTATTTTTAGCTTTCTAGGAACTGTTTCTGTTTTTCCTATTTTTTGGCTAGTCTTTGAATATGCGATTGATATATTAAAAAAAAAAAAAAAAAAACCCTACAGGTAAGTGTAGTTATATTGTGTGTATAACTAGAGAACTCTGCAAGAATCTGATTTCCTGGATTGCAGATAATAATTTGTCCCTTAAAGACAACTTATGTCTTTAGAGAACTCCACTTGGAAACCTGCTTGCTTTTGAGAGACGATTACTTCTCCAACTTTCTGGATACAAAAGGAAATAAACATTTTGCCCATTTTCTGGGACTTCAGCCAAATTCATTGTTTCTTACCTAATTCTTCTTTGGACAAATAGTGACCACAACTTGAATTATACTTTTGTATAATAAACATTATGTATAATTATAAAATTAGGTCAAAGTTAAATGGTAAAGTTTAATAATATGCCCATAATTGGCAAATAAAGTGCTTACCTGATAATATTTGTTTACAGCATTTGTTTCTGATGTCCATATCTTAAAACCAGTCATCTGGAATATTTGAAACTAATTGAAAGTAAAATTAAAACTTTTATGAAAAGCAACAACTCTTGCTGCTCTTATATTTTTAGTTGCATATAAATACACTATTTTTGTATTTTGCTAGAAAATTAAGATACACTAATGATAAACTTATTCTAATTTTGTATAAATTTTCCTTTGTGATTTGATCTGTATTTCAGTACCACAATGGAATGGGGAGGGATGTTCACCTATGAAAAATTATATGAATGAATTAGGAATCTTCTTCTCCTCAAACATACATTTTTTTTCCATGCCTCTTTGTCCCTAGGGTGTTTTCCTTTTGGCGTATTGATGTGATTAGATTTCCTGTATCCTTTAAAAATCAAAGCAAGTGAACAAGTTCTCCATAGACTCTGGCATCTCATCTATAGCTTCTGCCACATCTCTTTTCCTATCTAAAGTATTGAGAAAGTAACTCACATTTGTTTTCCGTATTTTCTCTTCACTTATTAATGCTCTGTGTTCTGATTTCTTCACCCATCATTAATCTGAAGTTGCTTTTAGTCATGAATTAGTACTTAGGAAATCTTGGTCTTCTGTGTTACTCAAACTTGTTACCCATTCTCTACTCCCAAAGTATCTTTTCTCTCTCATTACTTCTATAATTTCATATTAATTAGTTTTTCTTTAACCTCTTTTATTCTGTCTTGCCTGGCTTCTTTTGTTATCTTGTTGGAGTTTTTTCCCTTTAGATTTTGACAACCCCAGAATTTTCTTTTTATTCCTCTTCTCATTCTATATCATATTCCCAAATAAATTTATCTCTGGTTGAATAACTTCACGATTCATATCTTCAGAGCACATTTTTTCCTCTGGATCCCCAGTCATATAGTTCTACTCTCTGCTTGGCATACGTGCCCTCATACATCACCCTTGAAATATGCATGGAAATACCTAGACACACACTTCTATTACAACCATCGATTTCTCTCTCCCTATTTCCTTTCTTCCAGTTTGGTTGTATCGTCAGTGTTCACCTTTTCTTTCCCTTACCGCCTACTCCAGCCATTTATCAAGTTGTAGGAATTTAAATTCCTAAACATCATTTCGCTGTCTACTCTTTTCACTGTCACTTAAGTTGTGTCCTCAGTTTCCATTCCCAGATTTGTTTTCCCATCTTCATAACATGTCCAGAGTCCTGTAATTGTAGTGCTAAGATTGAACCCAGGTCTACCTAACTCGGTGTTTTTACCACCACGATACTATACTGCATATTTTTCAAATTAATAACTTGAATACTAAACCCAGAACTTGCAAAATTCTTTCAGTAATCATTTCACTAAAATAACTTAGTGATTTGAATTATTTCTTTTTAAATTATTTTTAAAAATGAATTAGTTATTTAATTTTATGTATATATTTTTATGAGAATTAGATTTGTTATTCATGTATTTAAGAAGCATTTATTAATCACCTTGTCCAGATGATAGACACTAGAAAATAGACCAAGGATACCAGCAGCACTGCCCCATTCAATTTACAGTCTCATGAAAGAGATAGATATGTAAGCAAATACTAATGTTACAGTGTAATAAGTGCTAAACAAAGAAATGTAACAAAGCCTTAAGAGTCCCAAAGGGGTAGCTTACATCTAAGAAAATTGATATGATGTCACAGAAAAAGTATTTTATAAAGCTGGATTGTGAAGGAAGAGTGGGGACCTGTCTGACAAATAACTGGGAGAAGGATGCTTAGGCAGAGGAAACAATGTCAGCAAGAGCAAGGACTTGTATGCTTTATGATAGGGAAGAATGGGACCCCGGATCTTGGACTTTATGTGTATGGGGATTTGTTTTATGTGTTTAGACAGAGGAATCACTTCAGCATATTCGTGTTCACTTAAGTAATTCTAAGCATGTGTGGGGCAATTTGGAGGGTTAAGAGATAGAGACATGGAGATTGATTTGGAGGCCAGCACAAAAATTTAGATGACTTTTGAGCCTGGTGAGAATCCAAACTATGATGTTGACTTTGTAAAGAAAGAAAGGAGAAAATGTAAGAACTGCTCAACGCTATATTCTGAAGAAGTGTCCAAATGCTACATGTGCACATTTTGCTTTTGTTTTAAACTGTAGACATGGGATGTAGAGCTGGAAAGATCTGCAGAATCCTGGGCTGAATCTTGCTTGTGGGAACATGGACCTGCAAGCTTGCTTCCATCAATTGGACAGAATTTGGGAGCACACTGGGGAAGGTATCTTAAAGCACAACTTTTTGTTTCTGAAAACATTAATGTTTAAAATGAAATCCGTATTAATTCATCAGTGCAGTTTTTCAAAGACTTGAAAGAAAAATCATCACAAAACAAGTAACAAAAAATAAATATCATACCAGAACAATCAGCAATTTTTTAGACTTTAAATCATCAATTTATTAGTAATGTAATGGGCATAAATATTTAAGTTCAATAATTTGCACCAAAGTATCTTTCTACCAAATTATACCAATGTATTTTGCAATATTTAGTTTTGTATTTTCTGCAACTTTGCTTGCCCTCTGTGACTGTTTTCTCTCTAATAGATATAGGCCCCCGACGTTTCATGTACAAGCATGGTATGATGAAGTGAAAGATTTTAGCTACCCATATGAACATGAATGCAACCCATATTGTCCATTCAGGTGTTCTGGTCCCGTATGTACACATTATACACAGGTATGTTTAGGGGGTATAATACTTAATTCCCCAAATTGAGTTAATGTAACTATGAAAGAAATTAGGCTAGTGAACTTGTCTTTCTTATATCATTTAATATGGTTATTAAAAAAACTATATGAATATTGATTATGTTGAATTGGCTTACAAATTTCTATAAACAATGAAAATAATTATCACACAAAAAAGTCCAAGCATCTACTTAAAAAGACATTATTTCAGTGATTTTGCATATCAAACATTTTTAATATGGCCCCAGTAATATGGGGAGAAATTTACCATCTTCAGTGTCAAAGTTTTATCTCAAGGAATAAAAATACAGTTTTATTTACCAATGACATTCAATATTTACATGTGCAACATGTATATATATATATTTATATTTCATGTTCACAATTGGTATGTTCTAAGTTTCCAAATCAAACAACCAAAGGCAGATTGAACTAGATAAAGCTCACTGCTGATCAGACTTATTATCAGTGAATATAAAGCAGATTAATTGTTCTGTATGCTTTTGCATGTGACAAGACTGACCAGCATCAAACTACCTGATAACCTGTGGCATGATGGAAAGATCATGTTGTATAAGAAATCTGGACATGTAAATTTTTGCTCCAGTGTTTGCTGTTTAGGATGTGATTTTCTGTTCCTTTGTCAGAAAAGTTTCTTCATAGACACGTTAATATGACATTAGGTTCGTGAGGATGTAACTTTTGAATTATTTACTAAGTTTGCATTTGAAAATGCCTGCATATTATAACCAGACACAGTTATTTTTCTGCAGCTCTCTTTTTAAAATTGAACTAGGTATTACTCAAAGACTCAGGGAAAAAACCCTTTTTGATTTGATCTCAGTTCATTTTGAATGATAAACATTGGTTTCTCACCTTCAAATGATATGCATTTTTCTCTCAGAAGTGTTGTCCTACTTGATTTCAGCCTGCTTTTTCTGAGCCTTTCATTTTTCTAATATAGGTGGTGTGGGCAACTAGTAGCAGAATTGGTTGTGCCATTAATTTGTGTAATAACATGAACATCTGGGGGCAGATATGGCCCAAAGCTGTCTACCTGGTGTGCAATTACTCCCCAAAGTGAGTAGACAAAACACTATTTCAAATGTACATTTTTCTTAACAAAAGGAAAATACCTTTATGTTCCTGATTGTTTCCCGTTTTCCGTGTGTATCACTGAATGAAGTGTATTATTTTAATTCTGTTTATTTAATATGGCAACAATTATAGTTGCCTAATGCATAAAATAAATGCATAAAGGGGGATATGAAATATGAATGTATAATCTTTGTGAATATGGGAAGCATGTTTTTATGTATTCACTTTTACTCACTAAACTATACTATCCATAAATATTGAATAATTGTTATTTATTAGAGATAAAAACTATACATTAATTGAGAAATGTATTTTCATCTGTGTAAAGACCATTTAAGGGATTATAGGATTATATTAACAATGTGACACAATCATATTTAGGGTCAAATTCAAGTTTAATAATGGGTTTTTATTAAAACAAATGGAATATAGTGAATATTCCATGGCAGAGTTTGGCTTTCTGCAAAAGTTTGATGTCATAATTTTTAACAATATGTGTTTTAATTTACTTGAGAAATTTTCAAAATGAGGCAGTAATTTATATTTAAACCTAGTAACCAAAAGGGGTCTGTAATAAATTATATAAATGTGTTAAATCTATACACCAAAATAATTATAGAATGTTCATATATAGTGATGTTTCACAATATTTTATAAATTATGCCGTTAGACTACTTTTTAATAGAGCGTATCATCTCTTAAAGGGGAAACTGGTGGGGCCACGCCCCTTACAAACATGGGCGGCCCTGTTCTGCTTGCCCACCTAGTTTTGGAGGGGGCTGTAGAGAAAATCTGTGCTACAAAGGTAAGTGCTATTGTGTTGTAGTGTTCATGTTGATTTATACTTTAATCCAGCTCCTGCATTACTTATGTTTAAAAAAGCCAGAAGCACACTTAATGATTACACGAAAAGTCTCTAGAACTCTATTTCAAATATTTGTATTATTTATATTATATTTATATTAATAAGAATTTTGTTATACTAACATGAAATTTTTAAAGTTCCATGATTATTTCAGGTAACTTTCTGATTCTACTTTGAAATAACCCCAGAATGACAAGTATATTTATATTCTTAAAAGTCATCTTCATGTATGGTTGACTAGAGTTATTTCCATAACTGTCATCTTTTTTTAAAGGATTTAGCAATTTAACACAATTTATTTTTAGCACTTTAAACATTTTTAACAAAATACCCCTTTGTGTATCTTATTGAACCATGCTCAATGAATTATATTGATTTTTCACTTCTCACTGCACACTATTCAATTTGTCATGCTAAAATAAGAAAAGTGTAATAGTTACATAAAACTGTAAAACTAGTTTTATATTACTTGAGTAGTACATTGAGTAGTACTCTGAAATGCATTTGATGTCTTAAATAGTAAATATGGTGTCCTGTTTATAGCACATAAAGATAAACTGTTATGACAAAGTTTTGTGAAAAGTCATGCACTTGTGCATTCAAGTGAACATTTTTTACTGCCTTGTACTTTTTTTCTTAATGGTGACTAAAGGAGGAATGATGTAGACTGAGTATAATATGAAATATTTGAACAATTACAGCCCCTTTTCAGTGCTCATAATGACACATGTCTCTTTTTTTTTCCCTTAATGATGCATTAACTAAAATGTGTAGAGAAGTGCCCATATATATCCCTGTGTTGTATAAGCCATTTAAACATTCCTGGAAGTATTTGCAGCATTTTTTCCTTGTGTGGGTGTTTTTCATATTCTCTATGTCCAAACCTCCAACCTGCCTGCCTCTTCCCCAGTGACCATTATCTTTTACTTAAAGCTGACTTTCCTGTGACTTCCTACTTTTTTTTTAGGTTCTGAGTTCTTGGGCATGCGTCAAAATAATACGCCTCTCCAAAATGTGCCATTGTCAAGCCTTTAATAAAGGCCAATCTGGAAAAAAAGACATTAAATTCAAAGTTTGAAATTATTCTCCATGGTCAAGTTTAAATTTCTGCACATTGACTTTTCTTCTAAAGGAAAAAAACTTGCTGTGGAGATGGATATTGTCATAAATAATAAGGGCATATCAGTCCTTCTTTAGGCCACATTTCCATTTGGGAGAAGTCTAAATGTGATCCTCCTGAAAATATTAAGAATATGATTTTAATTGAAATCACATTTGATTTTGCTAAGCCATGAACTTATTAGATCACTTTGTAGATTTCATGATGTCATTATGAAAGTCAAACAATGATATGTTGAAATATAAGCAAAGTTTAGAAGCAGCTTCATTGAATATTAGTCAAACATTAACATAAATGAATCAAGGACTTAAAAGGCTTATGTGTGTATTTCATTTACTCCAATGCAGTACCTAAGATCACCACCTGAAGCCAAATCCTGTGCAAAACAACAGTACTGATTTTTCTAGTTCTCAATGTTAACAGTAGTAACAAAGTATATTATTATTTGTAATTTGTGCACATGTAAAATAGGGTTAATATTTCCTAAATCTGCTTTCTCTAACAGAAGGGTCAGATGGGTATTATACCCCTCGAGAAGAGGAAACAAATGAAATAGAACGCCAGCAGTCACAAGTCCATGACACCCATGTCCAGACAAGATCAGATGATAGTAGCAGCAATGAAGTCATAAGCACACAGCAAATGTGTAAGACCTCTATATTACTTATAAAATTTCTTAGGTACCTAAATGGTATGTCCATCAAGATTTTATTAATTTGAACATTTATAGAATGGCAAAAATTTTGTCATTAGGCTATATATAATGAATTACAACTGCTTTTATATTATATGAGTTATTTTGGTATTTTTTTCTTTATAGCCCAAATTGTTTCATGTGAAGTAAGATTAAGAGATCAGTGCAAAGGAACAACCTGCAATAGGTAATATTTGTTATTATTTTGAAAACTAATTGACTGAATATAATAACTATTTGTATTTTGTACTGACATTCAGATAAACTAAATTTTGTGCCCAATTACTTTTATTTAGGTACGAATGTCCTGCTGGCTGTGCGGATAGTAAAGCTAAAGTTATTGGCAGTGTACATTATGAAATGGTAAGTATTATAAATGTAATTATTTGAGGATAGGGTCCTTCCATATAATATTTGATTTTTATTGTGCAAAATAACTTACATAAGTATATTTTGCTCAGAAATGTTTAATTTAAAATCATATAAATGGTAAATAGTTTGAACTTATGCAGAACTCTTATATTTTTAACATCCTTTTGTCTCCTACTTTTTTCCAAGCAATCCAGCATCTGTAGAGCTGCAATTCATTATGGTATAATAGACAATGATGGTGGTTGGGTAGATATCACTAGACAAGGAAGAAAACATTATTTCATCAAGTCTAATAGAAATGGTATTCAGACAATTGGGTAAGTACACAAATAATCTTTTGGACCAGATAATTTTAAATTGTAACAATGAACTAACACATTTTTGAAGAGCAAAGCATAGAATAATTTAAGAAGAAATAATTTGGTAATTTTCAAGGCTCATTTAGCTTGTAGTTTTATTAGACAAAAAGAAGATAAAGCATCTAAGGGCAAAGTTGAACCCTTTTGCTTGTAATGGGCATGCTAAAACTCCAAATTTTTGAGTTGCATTAAAAATGTGTAAATTTATAGTTAATTCTCAATGTAAAGCAATATATTTTTTAGCTTGACAGAAAATACCCTGAGAAGGGTAATTAATTTGCATGTTCTTCTTGTCCTATTTAGGGAAAATGGCTTATTTCATGTAACATTAACTTCGTTGATAAGATAAATTACTTTACAGAAAAGAGCATTTTGAAAAGTTCTCTAAATATGTGTTATGCTATGTCATCTTTCTTTTGTCCGTTTAAAAGTATCTCAATATAAAAGCATTTAATTTTATTAATGTTTCTCCTATGAGGTGTACCAAATACCTTATTCCAAAACACTGTGCATTTTTATATGTACCGTATAGAAAGTAGAAAAATGGGGGCTTTTGAAATACCTTTTTAGTGTCTTTTTCCTCTAAGTAAAACAGTAAACATTACTGAACTTCATACAGAATGCCTTTTCTTAGGAAATTTGACATTGTCTCTTTTGTTACAATACAGTTGCATGATATCTTCACAGTGGGGTTAAGTTAGAATTAATAACTATAAAAAACTATTAGGAACTCTTAAAAATTTGTGGAATGATCTCCTATGTAGTCTTTTTTTTTATTGTTGTTTTTCATTTGTTTGTTTTGTTTTTTTGCTTTTTGAGACAGGGTCTCACTCTGTCACCCAGACTGGAGTGCAGTGGTGTGATCTCAGGTCACTGCAACCTCCACCTCCTGGGCTCAAGTGATTCTCCTGCCTCAGCCTCCCAAGTAGCTGGGATTACAGGCATGCACCACCACACACAGCTAATTTTTGTATTTTTAGTAGAGACAGGGTTTCACCATGTTGGCCAGGCTGGTCTTGAACTCCTGACTGCAGTTGATCCACCCGCCTCGGCCTCCCAAAGTGCTGGGATTACAGGCGTGAGCCCACGCACCCAGCTTATACAGTCTTATTCAAAGGCCTGATGGGTGGTTTTTAGCTGTTAGTGATAACTCTTTTTAGCAATTTTTGTTGTTGTTGTTGTTAAGACAGAGTCTCACAAGTTCAAATTTTCCTGCCTCAGCCTCCCAAGTAGCTGGGACTACAGGCACTCGCCACCATGTCCAACTAATTGTTATTTTTAGTAGAGATGGGGTTTCACCAGGTTGGCCAGGCTGGTCTCAAACTCCTGACTTCAAGTGATCCGTCAGCCTCAGCCTCCCGTAGTGCCGGGATTACAGGCGTGAGCCACCACACTTGGCCAAAAGTTCTATAGAAATATTCATTAATCTATTTACTTGGCAAACATTTATTAATTACTTTCAATAAGTAATAAATAGTAGTTATTAGCTTTAGTAAGCCAACCAGTGGGTGTTCCATTAAAGGACATTTGTCCTGTTATTTACTTTCTTTCCTCTTAATTTTTAATTATCTCTCTATTATAGAAATTCTCTTGAAACTTGAAGGCTATATTTAATAGGTTGTATATTTTATGCCTCAGAGAATGTTATTTCTTTTGGACACATTGTAGATGAAGAATATTAAATACTGAATTTGAAGCTGACAGAAATAAAGAGTTGTTGAAATTTTACACCTTCAGTTCTGAGCTAATATATTCCGAGAGTGAACTACGTTAAAGTAGCCTTACCTTTTGCAATAGATGTTTTTCTAAAAATTTGGATATATATATAAACCAATTAAAATTTTGATGTGTAATTGTGTGCCTGATCTTATATTTCAGCATTTTAATAATGCATGTAAAGAGGAGAAGTTAATTCATTTTACTGTAGACATTTTGCTAGATACTAGGAGGAACAAAAAAGGAATAATGTACACTCCCTTCGGTACTTAGTTTTTGTAGTCTTTTAACAGCATTGTTTTGTATTTCCTGTTGTGAAAGAATAAATAGTTTGGTCTTGTGGAGGCAGGAAATTAGTATTTGAGGGTTTTAATTTTGATAGGAATCAAAATAGATATAGCTTTATGCTATTATCTATAAGTTTTTGAGATTAATAATGAAAAGAGATCACCTTAAGAATGGTATTGATTTGGTTAATAACTGATGGTAATATGGATTTAGCATAAAACTGATGATATATTCTTATATTGCTACTTGTCTAGTGTAATAAGTGTTTAAAAAGAAAATTAAGTGTTCATAGACTTGAAAGATTCCAGAAATGATGCTGCTGCTTATGATGACTATGTGAAAATAATGAACATTTCTGTATTTTTACCTTCAGCAAGTATCAGTCTGCTAATTCCTTCACAGTCTCTAAAGTAACAGGTTAGCACATTCTTCATCTTATTTTCTTAGTACTATGTAATATGTTATTGCTTTCAAAGGATTCACTCATTGTTTTGTGTTTTAATTCTTCAGTTCAGGCTGTGACTTGTGAAACAACTGTGGAACAGCTCTGTCCATTTCATAAGCCTGCTTCACATTGCCCAAGGTAAACCAGTGTACACATAGGGAACTTTGGCCCTGCGATAACTGTTTTTGCCTGAAATTCTGGTGTCTCTGGGATTCAAAAGATGTATAATCTTGAACTGCTAAACTGGAGGGAGCAATGGAACATCATAAACTACATGCACTCCAGGCAGGCCCAGTGTACTTTCTCCCAATGCAAAAGTATTCTCTGCTATTTCATAATATCAGGGTTTATGCGTGTAATCTGTATATTCATCTGTGCTACAAAGAGTCCTTTATTAGTCTGCTCTGGCTGCTGTAACGAAATAGCATTGACTGGGTGGTATAATGTTTCTCACAGTTCTGGAGGTTGAGAAGTTCAAGGTCAAGGTGCTGGCTGATTCGGGTCCTGATGAGGGCTCTCTTCCTGGTCTACAGATGGCCACCTTCTCTGTGTCCTCATATGGTGGAGGGAGAAAGAGAGCTCTCTCTCTTACATCTCTTCTTATAAGGACACTAATCCTATTGGATGAGGACCCCACCCTTATGACTTCGTTTAACATTAATTACCTTCATAAAGGCCCTGTGTCTCCAAGTTCAGTCAAATTGGGGATTGAGACTTCAACATATGAACTTTGAAGGGACAAAATCATTCAGTTCATAAGTTTCTTACAACAGAAACTAAAGTGGCATAACTCATATTTTTAACATTATTATCCAGTTTTTTAAATTAGATCAAATTAGGTTGCATTTGGTAAGTTAAAAAGCCCATCTTTGCCTTTCTTTTATTTTTTTGTATATTCTCTTTTACAGAATTATAATGGAATTTATGTACTATAAAATCATGAAAAAAACTTTATTTATCTTGGCCAAGCTAAGATGAAAACTGTTAGAAGTATTATGGTTTAATCCATAATCAGTAGATAGGAAAAATAAATTGTGTCTCCATATATCCAGTCTTAGTTCTATCTGCACTATTTCCGTTAATGCAAATATCCACACTACTTCTAAAAACTAGTAATGAGATTTCAAGATATAATTGTAATTTGACAACATACCTAAAAATTTAAGGAGCTTAATTTTTATGGAAAAGTTTATCTACTTTGGAAAAACGTCATTACTTGCCCTTTTAAAGTGAAAGCAACATTTCACTTAAAGAATGGGACTGGCTGTTCACAAGGTACATAACGGAATCTTTATAACAGAAGACTGTGATCTTCATATAACAGAGTACTTCATTTTCTATCAGTTTCCAAGTTACAGATGTGATATAAACAATAGACTTCCTCACATACACATAGTCTGTTTCTTTTCAAATCATTTGTCTCTACTAATGCAGGACTGCTGTTATAATGTTTTTGGTCAGCTAACTTGGTGCATTTTAATTGAGAATTTTAGAAGTCCTCAGCTTGTATTTGCTGAAATCCGCAGATTACCAAGTATGCAGGATAATTTGAGGACCTCTTACTGGGTGAAGTGCATGATATACTTTTTGCCATTTGTTCACCAATGAATTATATGCTGAATATTTTTATGATAAAAATACAATCTGCTGTTACTAGAGCTTGACCAATTATGCTCTTATAAGGCCCACATATTTGATTAAATCATTATTTGCTGTGTAGTCTTAGACAATTTTGTAGAAATATTTTTTTTTCAGATTTCTCAAGACCCCTACATTTACAAATTGCAGTTTTAAAGAAAAAAGTAAAGATGTATTGCTAGGTGAAGCTGGTAAATTTTAGCATCATAATATGTGGAAAAAAAACAGGAACTTTAGAATTTAAATGTATAAATATTTATTAAATACCTACTAAGTACCAATAGTATGCCTAGCCTTATGTCAGCCATGTGACTAGGTTTATGAGGACCAAATAATAAGGATAGTCTCTGTCCATCATTCTAACATAAGGCTCTCAATAGCAGATGCTCAATAAATGGTAATTTTATAACTACAAAACAAACTATATCAATATTGTTGCAAAAGGGATAAATCAAGTAAAGCATTAATAAACAACCTCCCTATTTCTTGGCTTGTTTCAGAAAGCAAAACATCAAAATAGGGAAAATGATATAAATTTTTAAAATTTAATTTTAGCCTTTACTGTTACCAATATAATAAATCCATAGAAATGACAATTTTTACATAATATTGACGTTAAGTAGTCTGAAAAGCTTCTCCCTTTTTTTTTATTTCAGTGAAACAAAATTGTCTTTTGTTTTTCCTGTATGAAATTTGTAATAGTTTCGTAAACTAGGTTATGATATTATGTATATGACAGGTTATAACTTTTAGGGAACCATGTAGTTGGTACATTTCTTTTAGAATTTCATATCACTTAAGTAGGCTGAGCCATAGTCTATTATGGAGAAAAAATGCCAATAAATTAAATTAAATTAGCTCAAGAAGACCTTGAAGAAACAAGATTTACCTGCAAGTCATGTCCTTGAAAGTTTCCATGTCTGGTAGAACAATTCAAAATAAACTCTATCTTAAACTATTATTTAGTAACCATTTGGTTACTCTGTAGTAATTATTACTTAATATCTTATATAAGAAACATCCAGTTTTATATATATCTATAAACAATTAGATCTTTAAAATTTATTGAATGCTCAAGATGTAAAAGTAGATATTAAGGTATGTCAGTATTTTCATTCAAAGTTTACCAGCAAATTGTGGGTGAAAAAAAAAAAAAAAAAAAACATTTACTGGACCAGTACCTACCTTCTCAGTAGTACATAACAAGCTGTTAAAAACAGATTGGAATACAAACAAGCAAAAACTTCCCCCAATCTTTGTTTTACCTGAACTCATCTGAGTAGAAACTAACTCAACTTGGATTATTGACTTTGGCATTCCGGAAACCAACAGCTGAATATGGGCAAGATAGAGTTTGCGGAGCATGCAGAGCAAGTGATTTTACAACCATAAGGATTGCAGTGAATGCCTAGCAGTTCTCAAATACAGTAAGATCAGTTTCCAGTCAAAGGGGACACCCTTCCTCCTGCAGAAACCCCAGACAGCATCTTTTATAACAATGAATCCTTTAATTCAAAGTTATAGAAACTCAGGTGCATTTATTACTTATATTTAAATGGTTCTGGTTTCCATGTTATGTGAAGTATATACACTCTAGAATATACAGTGTTATACAAATTTTAGAAATAAGAGCTATAACTATTTCTTAAAAGCTATCTTAAGGAAGATCTGCTTCAATTGGCAAGGGTAGTTTCAACTGAAGTATATTTATTATACTTTCAGGAAAATTGTTGATGCTATCATCCACCAATGATTATCACGTAATTATGTTGAGAGTCTCATTTACTATTTAAAATTGTGTTTTTTTCCAGTTTTAGTTTGTATTTCCTTTTAGTGATGGGTGTGGGTGTGTGTGTGTGTGTGTGTGTGTGTGTGAATGCAGACGAGCCACTTGATTAAAAGTGAAGTGCCATTTGACAGTTTCTTCAACTTTGGTAGTAGATTTTTAAAAATATCATGTGATTGATTAAATATTGATAATTGGATCCTTTGTTTAAATGAAAAGCTTTTGGTCATATTGTATTAGAGCCTAACAACAAAAAAAAGTGTTGGGAAATGTCTTTTAAGTGATCTAAGCCAACCAGATATCAGTAAGGCAGTAGGATTTCTAGAGGAAGAGCATTCCATGCAGAGAGGAAGATAAATGCAAAGGCTCTAAGGCAGAAGGCTATTGTGTGCATTTGAGGAATAACCATTAGGCCAGTGTGACTGGAGCAGGGTGAGAAAGTGGGAAAGGAGTAAGATATAAAGTTGGAAAGGCAGTGAGGATAGAAGATACAGGGCTTATTGACCTTCCTGAGGCTCTTGTCATTTACTCTGAATGTGATGGAAGACACTGGAATATTTAGAGCAGAGGAATGATGTGTTTGAAATTGTACATTTTTTTGTTGTTGTTTCATTTTGAGACGGAGTCTTGCTGTGTTGCCCAGGCTGAAGTGCAGTGGCACGATCTCAGCTCACTGCAACCTCTGCCTCCCAGGTTCCAGCAATTCTCCTGCCTCAGCCTCCCGAGTAGTGGAATTACAGGCACCCAGCACCATGCCCGGCTAATTTTTGTATTTTTAGTAGAGACAGGGTTTCACCATGTGGGCCAGACTGGTCACGAACTCCTGACCTCAGGCAATCCACCCACCTCGGCCTCCCAGAGTGCTGGGATTACAGGCATGAGCTACCGCGCCTGGCTGGACTTGTGTGTTTTAATATAAGTATGGAAAACAGATTGAAGAGGGCCAAATTGGAAGCAGGGAGACCATAGAAGAAGCCTAGAAGAGCCTATTGCAGTAAGTTAGAGAGTAGATGATAGAGCCCAGAGTTACCATGATTGAGGTGCTTGGGGATGCTCTGATCTTGGATATGTTTTCATGTACAGCCAATAGAAATTGCAGATGGGTTGAATGTAAGGTGTGAGATTAAGAGAGGGATTGAAGATAGAAAGGTTTCTGGCCTCAGCACTTGGAATCATGGAGGTGCCATTTATTGCAATGGGAAGCCTACAGAAAGAACAGATTTGGGAACTAGAGAAGGAGATTAGGAATTTGGTTTCATACATGGTAAGCTTGAGATGTTTATTATAACTAAGTGGAGATGTTGAACAAGCAGTAGGATATTCACGTTTGGAATTAAGAGAGGTCCCAACTGGAAATGTAAATTTGGAAATCAGCCATTTAAAGATGATAATTAAAACCATGAAACTGAATGAGATTCCAAAGATGTGAATATAAAGAAGAGAAACTATGAGATATATGAGGCAGACAATGATTCAGATTTTCCAAGTTATTGGTTTACTAAATTCTACAGATATAATGAGTACCGACTTCTCGATACATAGAGATGCTTTCTGATGTTTCTTTTGGCTCGAAATCCCCACATTAGACAGCTTCCTAATTTTTTTAAAATCACACTTGTGCCAAAAGATAGAAATAGATAAACAGAAGCAATTGTGTCTACTGCCTGGGCTTGTACAATTGACCTATTTCAGGAGAAAAAAATGAGTAGGGTTTAGAATTTGAGCTTACTTTGTGTATACATATCTGTGGTTTTACTAATGAGAAAGACTTAAGTAACCAGCTTACTTAATATATATATTATTTTTTTCAGAGTATACTGTCCTCGTAACTGTATGCAAGCAAATCCACACTATGCTCGTGTAATTGGAACTCGAGTTTATTCTGATGTAAGTATCCTAATTTATACAGCTTTCAACATTCATGTATATATAAAAATGTATAGCCACATTTAAATGTATATATGTACATTTATATACAGAGCAAAGAAACAGACTTTGTTAATAGGCATTCTCAGAAGAGTCAAACATCCATATCACCAAAAAATTAATATCCATATGTAAGATATGAGTGTATAATTATTTGACAAAATTTTTCTTGACATTCTCCCCATATGTTTTATATAAGACACATAATGAAATAGTCTATAGTCATTGTTGGGAAGGAAAATGTGTTTCGTTTTTCTTTTGATTCTTTCATATTTGAAGTCTAAACTGGATAATTAAGATTTTGTCAAAAGTCTAAACAATATCTTCAGTGCCATACAGCCATTTAAAATGTAGCATAGAGTCATAGAGATGCTACATTAAAATATATGCAAAAGAGAACTAATTGAGGGGATGTTGTAAGAGATGACTTTAGTGGGGTTGGACAAGGAGTATGAGCTATGATGGCCCAGGCTGGAGTACAGTGGCATGATCATATCTCAGTTTAACCTCAAACTTGGGCTCAAGTGATCCTCCTGCCTCAGCCTCCCAAGTAGCTAGAAGAACAAATACATGACACCATGCCTGGATCTCTTTCTGTTGTTATAGAGATGGGGTCTCACTGTGTTGCCCAGGCTGGTGTGGCCTCAAGCAGTCCTCCTGCCTTGGTCTTCCAAGGTGCCAGGCCTGTTAAGTGCTTGTTGAGCCAGGTTGTTAGTGCCCATTGGTAAAGAGGATCAGGGAACATGTTCTAGCGGGATAAGTGACATTTACAAAGTAATGGAGTTAAGAGTAAATGAGCTGTACATCAGTCTAGCAGATAGCTTTGTCTCTGATCTGCTGAAAATCGGAATGAAAAGGGGCTTCAACCAAGTTAGTCTGAGAGAGAGAGGAATCCAGCTCACATCAGTGTGCGGACAAAGTCTGAAAGCGCCTGCTGATGAGTTTACATTTTATGAGGCAAACACTTAGAAACCATTACAGATTTCTAAGCCAGAGAGTTACAAATGCAAATTTAGGAAATGTCTTATGCACATACTCAATAGAATATTAAGGGAATTTGATCATGTAAAGAGGACTGAATATGTATATTACCACCTATTTCTCTTGGTGAGCTTACTTAGGTCTAGATTTTTTTTCAGTTCAGCTTTACCTTTGCAGTTATTCTCCAATTCTGAGTCTCTCTCAAGCTCCAGATTTGAACTAGTCTTATGTGCCACTGAAATGTCCTGCTGGTATCTTGAACGTGCTAGTCTTCACATTTGTGCTTATATTCTTGCCTCTGTTGAAATGCAATATTTTTGAATATTTTGTGTCAAAATTGTGGTCATTCTTCAAAACCTAAATTATTGCCACTTTCTCTGTGAGGGTGTGTTGCTGGACCTTCCAACCCAAGTATGAAGTTGCCCCTGTTTCAACCCCTATCACTTCATTTTCTCCTTTTGGCACTTAGCCTGTTGTATTTGATATTATGATTATTACCCTATCTCTTTTATTAGTTTGTAAGTTTCTCAAGGGCAGCAGCTGGGTTATTCATTCATCCTTTTTTGATCACGAATTTGATGTCTGCCAAGCCGTGAACAAGACAGGCACGTCCTCCTGAACAGAGCTTAGAGCACATAGTTACGTCAGATATTACCTAAGTACCTTGCACATAAATATTTGTTGAAACAAGTAGATTAACAAATATATAGGAATGTGCGTATCTGAACTCAACAGAGATTTCCAAAGAAATCATACTTTTCAGATTTTCCCTTTAAGCAGGAGAACTTTTAATTTTAGTCATGTCTAGTGAAAGTCTTTCAAAATATCCGTTATACTTCTATACCTTTAAAGCCATCTATTTGCTGGAGTTAAGGTTTTGTTAGAACTCATATCTTGATATCATTTTACCTTTCTACCCTCAGTGAAATGGGTGTGTAATGTGTGTATTATGTAGGTCGTTTGAAGAGTAAGTTGGAAATACAAAGATTACTGTCAAATGGCAAGTACGAAATCAGAGATCCAATCATTAATTGCCAGTCTTCCCTGGCCCGACAAAATACATTATCTCTCCAAATAAACCAATCAGCCAGACTCCCTCCCTCCTTCCCTCCTTCCCTCCCTCCTTCCTTTCTCTTTCTTTCCTTCCATTTATAGTTAGACCTTGTACATTCTGTTTATTTGAACTTTTATTTATAGTTTATTATATATTTCTGCATTCATTAAACATTCTATTTTTACAGATAAATAATTCTTTTCATCACATATTAGAGTTTATGAAGTCTGAGTATGAAAAGAAAATGTCTTCTGACTTTTGAACTCAAATAGGGATGCCTGCTGAATGCACAATTACAGGCAATACAATAGCCTCAAAACATATTAAGTACTTCGACTTAGTAAACGTTGTATCTAAGCACTTTTGTTGCCTTGGGAAAAATGCTGATTAATACTCTTTTAACAGAACAAATACTGAATTGTGCACAGAATTATTTTTAATTCCATCTGTTAGGAACCATATTGGATGCAAATGTAATTCAGTGGGACTTTAAATGTTGAAGAAAATGCCTTTGAGTAAGGATGGAGGTTTTAGATACATGGTATTTTGTGATACAGCAAAAGCATGGAAAGGATTAAACAGCTTGGCATTCAGACTCTGATCTAATAAATACTGACTGATGCTCTAGAGTTCACAGCACAGTAATAAAGCAAGGTCATGTAAGATATACATGCTTATGCGAACTTAAAAAAGCATATTAAATCACTCACATGTGCATAGAGATAAAAGAACACAGCAATGGAATCAGAAAAGACCATGGGCATTTGACATGGATTGCTTTATACTGAAACAGTTAAAATATTTTCTTTGGTCGGATTTCCTTGGATTGTACTTAGTTGTTGACAAAGTTTGGTAAAACATTTGGACTAAAGCAAATATTAAAATTGAAGATTTTAATGGGCCAAAAGAAATGATCTGACTTTTAGAATTCAGTAGTGTTAAAAATTTGAAAGTATTGGAACTGAAACAATAATTTTCTTCTCCATAGAAATCCCATTCAGTTCAGATTATATGACTAGTACAATGTAATCAGAGGACTTTCCTAGTATTTCATGTCAGACCATTCAAACTAAATTGACAGGCATTACAAATCTAGGTAGAAGCTATGATGATTCTTCATTTTTTTCTTTTTAGGGTTATTAGGCAAAGTTTATCTGTGTAGATTACATTATTTACTAAGAAAAAAACTACCCCATTTCTTGTATTTTGGAACAGGGGCCATAGTCATATGCAGAACTATGGTGGAGTTTGTATTAGGCAAAAGTGAACATACCTGAGGGATGAATAATCTAACCTGTGAGCATTTAGGCAGAGTGAGCCCAGTATAGAACAAAGGCTAAAACTGAAGAATGACAAACAGGCGCTAGAAGAGATAAAAGAAGCTAATTTGCTTTTTATTGCTTTGATACTCTAAAGCCTACTGTTTGTACAGAACAGGAGCTTGCTAGATTAGACTGGGGAGGGGTCTTACCATTGCATCACCCTTGAGGTTGGCCTTCAGGCTTGCTCCGAATTGGCTTTGACTTTGTGACATTTCAAACACTCCTTTATGCACAAAACCTCATCCTGTAGCTGCTCACTGGCTATCCATGACATCAGGATGTCAGCGACTTCAGTCTATTAATAACGAAGAACAGGCTGGACAAGTCCTACAGGAATTTCCAATAATGGCAGTTTGTTTGTTTCCTTGCCTTCTCAGCTGTCCAGTATCTGCAGAGCAGCAGTACATGCTGGAGTGGTTCGAAATCATGGTGGTTATGTTGATGTAATGCCTGTGGACAAAAGAAAGACCTACATTGCTTCTTTTCAGAATGGAATCTTCTCAGAAAGGTAAAAACAAAACATATGTATGTATAATTTTACGTACCATCTATCACTGTATTCATGATTGCTGCACAGTTGACCCACTTTAACATTTTTAATTTTTTTCAAAGTTAAGTGGCAGAGTCAGTGTGTTCCTTTGCACACTTGTGTACCAGTCAGCCTTCCAGGGATGGGAGAAGCTGTAGTACCAGAGGTGCCTGTCTCCTGCAGGCTTATAAAAATCAACATGAAAATCGGATTACAAGTCAGAACTACTCTTTTGTTAATTGATCTTATAATTAGGAACTTTCTTTCATCCTCTTTTGGATTTTCTAGATTAGTTTTTATATTTAATTCTTTCTAGGTGAGCAAGGCACAGAATATTTCTCTAATCCAGTTATCTGACAAAGTATTTGACAAAAACAATGTCTGATTTTCCCTAGAACCAAACTCTCTAATTGATTTGAAGTTGGATGCCTAGTGTGATATAAATGAACTCTTTCAGGTCATTTTTCATATTATTTAACCCACCCACTAGTATCATATATTTTGGTGATGTGAGAAAATTCTTGTAACTCACTTTATCAGGTATCACTAAATATTAAAATAAATGAAGCAATGGTGATTTTAAAAATCATTGTTACTTATAAAAGTAATATTAAAAGTCCTATTTATTTGTATATAGAAAAATCCCTAACTTTTAGGTATTTCCTGGGTTCTTCAAAATTGCCAATGGAGAGCACACATATGTACACCAAAGGATGTGTCATGCGGGGTATCTAGATTACTTTCCACGTAACCATCTGGGTGTCATCCTCTCAAAAATACAAATCTGCATTATCTGTTTTCATATTAGACTATATCAAGCGGTGAGTGTTGAGAAAGTGACATCTCTACAACCTGCTCATGTCCTCTTTAAGCAGAATAATATATAAAATGGATCTTTGAGTTATAAAATTGGATATGCAACTTTATAAGCTAAACTGAGTGATATGGTTTTATTCATGCCTCGTAATTCTTAGATTTATTTTAAAACCATAAAATGATAGATGATATCCTAATAAAACGGTATAATAATTATTTTTGAGTACCTACTATGAATATTCCAGATGTTAGATGCTCCTGAGCACTCTAAGTATGTTAGCTCAGCTTCAACATCCTTGAAATGTCAGGCCTATACCCGGAGAGAGAGAGAGAGAGAGAGATATATGTATGTATGTATGTGTGTGTGCGTGTGTGTGTATGTATGTGTGTGTGTGTGTCTGTATATATGTATGAGTGTGTGTATATACGTGTGTATATGCATATGTGTGTGACTGTATATATGTGTGAGGGTGCATATGTATATTTATGTATATATGTGTGTTTCTGTGTATGTGTGAATGTATATATATGCACATACATTTTATATATACATATATACACACATACATACCTATACACATATACATATGTGTATATATGTTAACTGAGACTCCGAGGGGTTAAATGATGTGCCCAAGTTCATATAACTTGTAAATCTCAAAGCTTAGATTCAGTCTGTAGGCTCAGAGATATGTGTTATTCCAGTATTTAACTGTGTACAAAAAGGAAACACAGCAAACACATTCACTTCCTGAGGCACTCAGTCAGTCTGTTTCTCATAAATAAAATATTTGGATTGGCCATCTACTTGCGTGAAAAACCTGGCATGCATGCATGCACATGTGTGTATATGTTGTGTGTGCACCCTTGTGATACCCTTATTTTTGCTCACTCAAAAATTCTCTCCCTTTTTTCTTGTACGAATAAATATATAAAAGATATTTCACTTTCTCTTTCTTAGCATTTATTTTATTGATCTCCAAAAGTCTTTTGTAATTATTAAGGAAATAAAACTTTATGTAAAAGCTTCAAAAGCTTACAGTTGATTTGAATAAATAATGATTAATGGTACTACCAATCTGTTTTAACTTTTAGACTTTTAAACAAAACATACCTTGATTTATGTTGCTAAATAAATATAAACAATTTAGTAAAGAGTAAAATTTATGAGTCTGCATTACTTTTAACTTCTATTTAAAAGTACTTTCAAAATGAGATTGAATGCTCTGTGTGTGTGTGTGTGTATGTGTGTGTGTCTGTGTGTGTGTGTGTCTGTGTGTGTGTGTCTGTGTGTGTGTGTCTGTGTGTGTGTGTGTGTGTGTATTTTTTCATTTCAGTGAAGATATTCTTAGGTCCTTTCAGATTTGACCATTAAATATCCTTACTAATATTTTTCTTGAAATTATAGATGTTAAGAGTATTAATCGATATGATAGCAATGTAATTTAAATTTTGTCAGACTTGGGCAATGATGATAAGCTAGTGGGCAATGATAATAAGCTAGTGCTCTAGAGTATTGCCTAAGTATCAGCTGTATTTTTAGCTTGTAACTATGCATATCAGTTGTAAATCTGAGTCTCAGTGTTCCCCATTAAAACTGAATAACAGCTGCCAAACTCTGCTTTATGAGAATGAAAGGAGATAATATAGGAAAACGTGATGTAGAATCTATGAAGTTCTGTAGAGACTACTATTATTACCATTACACATCTTAAATGTTGTTAGTACTTGCAGCCCAGCATGGAACCAAGGGTTAAGCTCTTTCGTTCAAGCTTTCCAATAACTATAAATTATAGTAGCCTAAGAAAGTTGACCATCTGGATTCGTAGAGCTGCTTTCTTGACTGTCATAAGAAAGCATGATTTATAAGAAGGATTATGTATAGAGATAACAATATACTTTGTGTATTTTTTTTTTTTTTTCAGTTTACAGAATCCTCCAGGAGGAAAGGCATTCAGAGTATTTGCTGTTGTGTGAAATGGAATACTTGGAAGAGGATTGTAAAGACTATTCCAAATGCAGTATTTCTGAATTTTGTATAAAACTGTAACATTACTGTACAGAGTACATCAACTATTTTCAGCCCCCAAAAGTGCCAAATACATATAAATCTTGATAAACAAAGTCTATAAAATAAAACATGGGACATTAGCTTTGGGAAAAGTAATGAAAATATCATGGTTTTAGAAATCCTGTGTTAAATATTGCTATATTTTCTTAGCAGTTATTTCTACAGTTAATTACATAGTCATGATTGTTCTACATTTCATATATTATATGGTGCTTTGTATATGCCACTAATAAAATGAATCTAAACATTGAATGTGAATGGCCCTCAGAAAATCACCTAGTACATTTAAAAATAATCGACTATAAAACTGAAAGAAACTATCACATTTTCCCCAGTTCAATGCTATGCCATTATCAACTCCAAATAATCTCAAATAATTTTCCACTTAATAACTAAGGTTTTTTTTTCTTCTGTTAATTTAGGCATATAGAATATTAAGTTCTGATATTGCACTTCTTATTTTATATAAAATAATCCTTTAATATCCAAATGAATCTGTTAAAATGTTTGATTCCTTGGGAGTGGCCTTAAAAATAAATGTAATAAAGTCAGAGTAGTGGTATGAAAACATTCCTAGTGATCATGTAGTAAATGTAGGGTTAAGCATGGGCAGCCAGAGCTTTCTATGTACTGTTAAAATTAAGGTCACATATTTTCTTTTGTATCCTGGCAAATACTCCTGCAGGGCAGGAAGTATAATAGCAAAAAGTTGAACAAAGATGAACTAATGTATTACATCACCATTGCCACTGATTTTTTTTTTTAAATGATAAATGACCTTGTGTATAAATATTGCCATATCATGGTGCCTATAAAGGTGATATATTTGTTTCTATGAAAAATGTATTGTGCTTTGATACTAAAATCTGTAAAATGTTAGTTTTGGTAATTTTTTTTTTCTGCTGGTGGATTTACTATTTCCCTTAAACATATTAAAATTAATCATGTTTCAAAGTTTTATTTTCAGTTCCTTTTGCATGCTGATTTTGATTTAGAAATCACTAAGATAAATGAACAAAATTATTGTAAGTCTTCTAAATTTGGTTTATTTACGTTAGTATCAATAACATACTTAATACCAGATGTCTACAAAATCGACCTAATTATTTCAGTATTTGCATGTGAAAGAGAAACACATATTTAGAGACATAGCAAGGGAGATTTTGAATAAAGAGATGAATTTATAAAGTAGGAAAAAATCTGAAAGATACAAAGTGATTATAAAAGAATTGACAGGACAATAAATACTTGAAATACTTTTAGAAGGTAAATGATTAGGAGCTTAGGAGAAATAAAAGGTAAATACCATGCAGTGATCAAGGAAAGCAAGAGAGAGGATAATACAAAAGTAAAAGAAGAAGGGCTCACATAAATAACTTCTGGAGTGCAAATTATAAAGACATCAACATTTTTGATCATTTAATAAGTATTGTCTTATAGCTAAGTGGTTCCAAATACTGGTAATTAAAACAATGATGTATACATTAAAGCATTAAAGATTGCAAAACTTAAAAGCAGATTTTTATGGGAACATTTTTTTGAAAGGATACATTGCCACCTTCTTAAATAGCATGACTTTACATAGACTCTTTTTCTGGTCCTTACTGCTCCTCCCACAACAGGGACGCCCCATCAGTTCTGTCAGTGTAAGATTTTCTTCTATTTGCTCTTAGTTTAGATCTCCATCATCAATTCCCCTTACTATTGTAATGTCTTCAGCTGGAGCCTCTTCTTTGTGTCTTTCTCCATTCCTTTTTAATGCATTCGTATTTCCCAGCCCCAGAACCCTGGAAATTAACTCTTCCGTGAGTTTCCATTGCTTAAGAAAAACCAAACACCCTTGTAAAAACATTTGAGAACTTCCATAGTCTTGTTCATATTGTTTACCTATCTTCAACACAAGGCGTGGCCTCGGGTAAGTTATTTAGCTTCAATTTACCTTACCTGTAAAATGGAACAAATAATATCTCCTTGAGATTGCTCTACGAATTAATTGACACATTATGTGTAATGTACTTAAAGGAATAATAAACACATGTGGTCAGTGGATGCCATTTTCTATTATTATCATAATTTTTGTTATTTAGTTTGGGGAAACTATTCATCTGTCATATGCTATTGATCCTTTGGCACTTAAGTAAATGTGAAATCCTCCAGGAATTTTCCTGTGATTCTCCTTGTAAGAATTAAATGCTAATATGATATCCTTTTAATTTGGCCATTTTAATTATTTAATTTGTGTTTGATTATATTCTTTAAAAGATAAGCTCTTTGTGAATGGTAATACTCATCTCTCTACCCAAGAGCACAATTATCTCAATGATTTTTACGTCCGTGGACTCTACAAATGATATATCAGTATTGTTGAGTGAACATTCCAACAATTCATAATTTTTTATGAAAATGATTTTTTTCCACATTATAATGTGATGTCAACACAAACATAAAGTACTATAGCCAGTAAAAATAATTTATTGATAGACGTGGATTTAAAACAGATCAATGCTTATAGAATAGTATTAATATTACTTTAGCATTTAAAGTTTACCAGACCGTATGTTACTTTAATGCTCTTCACGTATTAAAAATTATTATGTATTTCAAGCATAGTATTTTGAAAATAAATTACTAATATTAGATAATTTGCATATTACAGGGTCCACTTTTCAATACTGTACTCTAAAATCTTGACTGTTCTCTAGCCATTCTAAAATGTTTTTAAAGAAATGTAAACTCTTCTAAATAGCATAGTGAGCCAAGCAAAGAAACAGAGCTATCGTTTTTGCAGACATACCAAATTTCAGATTTGAACTTTAAGCTAATTCATTGCACAAAGAATTACATTGTTAGAGTTGATTTAAAAAACTTATCCGAGGTGATACTTCTACCCTGGCACCACAATATTCAGGAGCTGAAGAAATAGTTTAGTGAAATAATCTGATCCTCTTTTATTAATTTGTTGTAATTAAGTCGAAATTATATCAGTTTGAGATTTTAAAAAGGCAGGCAAACTCGTTAGAACACTGCTCTTAACAATTAGATATTCTCTACTTCCTCTCATCCCCTAATCCTTATGTCACTTTGCACAGAATTACCAGTGAAACAATGCTAGTAAGCAAACATCCTTGCACTGGACCATTAAGTTATGAAAACTAATTTTCCAATGATTACTAATAATAGTGAATTGGCAATTGTGTTTACCACTATACTGATGAAGATGAAAAGCAAAGGGGCCTACACATGACTGTATCTGATAAGCTCAGTTTTAAAAAGAAACATGTACAGAAGATGAAGTAGAAATTAGAAATACATAATTAAAAGGCACAAACAGATTACAAATATCATTAGAGGCTGGGTGTGGTGGCTCAGGCTTGTGGTTCAGCACTTTGTGGGGCTGAGGTGAGTAGATCACTTAAGCTCAGGAGTTTGAGACCAGTCTGTGCATGATGAAACCCCGTCTCTACAAAAATTAGCCAGGCATGGTGTTGCCTACTTCTAGTCCCAGCTACTTGGGTGGCTGAGGTTGGAGGACCACCTGAGCCCAGGAAGTTGAGGCTACAGTGAGCTGTGATTGCACCACTGCACTCCAGTCTGGGCAACAGAGCAAGACCTAGTCTCAAAAAAAAAAAAAAAAGAAAAGAAAAGAAAAGAAATGCTTTTTTTTTTTAGTTCGTGTCTTTTATTAACTCATACAGTTACTTGTCTTCTGGCTTGTTGAAGCAATAAGTCAGACAACATTTGTCACAATAATGTCTGTCAAAGTGGCTTGCCATAAACACCCCAGCACCACATTCATCAGATGGGCACTCTCAACGAAGGCGACTAATTTTGCCATTCTCATCCACCTTATAATATTTCAGGACAGCCAGCTTAACGTTCTTTCTCTTGTGCTTATTCTTCTTGGGAGTGGTATAAGACTTCTTCTTCCTTTCCTTAGCACCACCACGAAGTCTCAACACAAGATGAAGAGTAGACTCCTTTTGACTATTGTAGTCAGACAAAGTACGTCCATCTTCCAGTTGCTTGCCAGCAAAGATCAGTCTTTGCGGAGCAGGAGGAATTCCTTCCTTCTCCTGGATCTTGGCCTTTACATTTTCTATCATATCCGAGGGTTCAACCTCGAGGGTGATGGTCTTCCCCGTAAGGGTTTTCACGAAAATCTGCATTTTTGGTGGCGACTCCACCACAGATGGCGGATCGAAAAGGGAAATGCTTTTAAAAAGCCTAACCTGATTGAATCCTTATGCTAAGACAGATAAGAATTTTTTACAAAATGATATGAGAGCAGCATGGTCAGGGACAATATAACGAAAAACAAATAACCCCTTCTGAAGCTTTCTGCTTTCATTCATCCAAAAACTGAGTTCCTACAATCTGCTATAGGTTTGTGCTGATCACTGTAGATATGTTTATAAACAAAAATGTCCTCAGGAAATTAGATTCTAGTGAGGTAAACATTATTAATTAGATAATCACATAAGTAAATATAGGAAACAATGGAGATTATAGAGCTTTGTTACTACAAAGAAAGTCTATATAGTACCATGGCAGTATTGAAAAGTGGGACTTGACCTTGGGGGAAGAGTAAAGATGACTTTCCTGAGGAACTGACAAAGTTCAGAAGAACTTAAGGATGAGCAGAAGTAACTTGGAAGGGGAATAATTTCTTACATAAATAAACACTATGCAAAATACCTTATGACAGGAATACTCTAGAAACAACAGCAACAAAAAGCCAAAGGCATGCTGTATTGAGTCTGGACATGTAAACGGGGAAGCAGACAAAGGTTGAAAGAATTTCTTTAGGGTTAAAAGGCACTGTTGGTGCTCTAACAGATGCCCAACATGAATAACACTATGATGTGACACATACCAGTATACTCAAAAGGCACTCAGGAATTCAGATTTTGAGCACAGGAGCAAAGTATGAGATACATTCTGTATTAATAACAAACTGAGTTTTATAGCACTTCATAATAAAGTTCTTTAATACTCCTGGGATCTGGAGTTTGATTCTTACATGATTAATATGTCTATAAGCAATGAATTGAAATTGATTGAGAGCAGGAAGAGAGGATGACATGTATTGAGAACCAACAATATTTTAGAAACACTGCTATACGTTTAATGTATTTGCTTCTCACAACAAACTTGTGAGACAATATTATTTTCCCATTCTTATGTCTTAGAATGTAGATTCTAAAAGGTTAATCTACACTGTCTAAGGCCTTGAGTTTGGGAAACGTGATTCATGTTTCCATCTCTCTAAATCCAAAGCCCATCTCTTGCTATTGGATCACTCCTGCTGGACATTTCCATGGGGACAGGGAATAATTTCATTAGCTCTCCTTACATCAGCTTTAGAAATACTCTTATACAGAATTCTGTAATCTTTGAATATGCCATACATTTGTTAGATGTAGAAAGATCTGTAGAAGAGGAGTAGAAATTTAGCTTTCTTTAAAGGTAGACTACAAAAAATTTTAAAAAGAACATTGATTCAGGGAACACCAGGAAAGGATGGGGTTTGTGTTCTGTAGATTTGGAATTAATAAACTACTTTTTCAAGAAAATACACTGAATTACTTCCCTTTCACCAATTCATAAAAAGGGAGATAAAGAGAAATAAAAATATTGTGCTCATAAAAGCATGGATATCCTGAAAGTGGATGGCAGTTGAAATCATACTGACAATTCAGAACACATGGAGCCTCAGCTCAGAGCCCACCCAAGAGAAGGGTGCAGTTGAGGAGAAGGCTTCTCTTTAGGCACAACCATAACGCAAAGTGCTTGAAGAATCTGCCTTCTGATTTTCATTCAGGTGGACTCCTGGATTTCACTCTACCCTTCAACCTCACCCTGCCCACATACCCTCAAATGAGTCCAACTAATTAACATGCCATGATACACATAAACAACTTTAAGTCAGACCTCTCTTATCCAGGTGACAGGTTGACAACAAGAGATACCACTTTAGTCAATCCAGTTCTTCAAACAGATACAAAAACAGACAAAATGAACTCTCAGACAAAAGCACAGAAAAGCAAGCATCACATCAACTGACACCAGAAGCAGATGTTTTAGAGAAAAGTACCTCTTAAAATCTTACCATCAATATCCTCAGGGAATACAGTACACCCATAAAACAAGAACAGACTAGTGTAGAAAAGAAACCATCAAAGAATAAGAAAACCATATTTTGGAAGACATTAAAGTAGTTAAAACTTAGCCATTGGACTTCAGGAAGCAAGAATGATGACATGCTTGGTGGTTGTATTTAGAATGTAGGAATTTTGGGAGAAGCATTGAAGTGAAAAACATAACAGAAAATTTCTTGTTAAAGATAAAAATGTAAAATGCATATAGATATCCACATATATAACATTAGATATTGTTAATAATCATGTAAAATTAGGCATAAACTGTGATATAACAATGCATTTCTAGTGAAAAATATTGTGTTTCCAAGTCAACTTTGCTTCTTTCTAGTTGGCTAATGCCATTCAAGTTTCATTAAACTTTGCTTAAGCATATTTTGCTCATATGTAATATGGGAATTATAATGACTTCCTCATAGGGTTGATAACAGAATTAAATTAAATGATAGAACATGGCTGAAATTAGCTAGTACTTGCTGAACACTAACTAAATGATAATTCCATATGTATATTGCATTTTCTCAGAGGTTGTGTGGATTTCATTTCAGATTTTCATGAACCATGTTCAATCATTTTAAATCAAATGTATTGAGGAATAATTTAAATACAAAAGATGTATGCTTTTAATTATTCATTCTGATGACTTGTATTAGTTTCCTGGGGCTGCTGCAATGAAGTTCCACAGACTAAGTGGCTTAAACAATAGAAATGTATTGTTTCACAGTTCTGGAGGCTAGAAATTCAAGATGAACGTGTTGGCTGGGCCACGCTCTCTCTGAAGGTACTAGGGAAGGTTCTGTTCCATGCCTTCCTCCTACCGTCAGTTGATTTGCTGACAATTTTATGCATTCCTTGGCTTGTGGCATTAATGTAATTTTCACCCAGCACTCTCCATGTGTGCGGGTCTGTGTCCAAATGTCTCTTTTTTTATAAGGATACTGGTCATGTAGGATTAGGGACCCATCCGACTCCAGCAGGACCTCATATTAGCTAATTACATCAGCAATGACCCTATTTCCCTATGAGGTCACCTTCTGAAGTACT